ACACTCCCATGTGACCCCAGAACCCTCAGTGTTGTACAGATCCCCCAGGACGCAGGACATTATACATGTGCTGCATGTGGAAATGACAATAATGTTCTGCCTTGGAAGAGGTTTTCTCTCACTATGCTTGGCGTCAACTGCATGTGATTTGCTTAGATGTATTTTAGCAAAAGGACATGACTTTGCAATGTAAATAAAAGTAGGAAGGAAATCTTTGGCAAATTATGTTAATATACAATACAGTATATATTAATGAATATAAAAGTTTTAATTCGATTTTAGATCTTTAGGAATTAGGTCAAGTAATGGCAGATGAGTTTTATTATTATTGTTCTTCTTGTTATCTAAACTCATCTTTTTTTTAATTTAATGGCAGTGAAACGTATAACATCAATGTTTCATTATTCAATTTAAGATTGAATAATTACATCCATTGGATCTTCTGTCTTCAAACTGCAATAATTACAAAATGTGTTTCTATTATTTACCTACCAATAGTCTTACTGTGTAAACATTTTAAAGGGCAAATAGGATGCTAATGCATAATAAATGCATAATAAAGTACACAATAAAATGTGGAGTTCATTGAACTATTGTGTTTACTATACGTGTCAAATAATCTAGTAATTCAGAGATACTGTCCTACTATCAAGAATACAATACTAATTATATACAAGACAATATGGATTAGTATTCATTTTGCTAGACTCGAATTAACCCTCTTTATCAAGCTCTTTATCATGAAATTGCTCTATGATTGTTTCTATCAAATAAGATTTGAATGTAAATGATTGATTCTGTCACATAGCTTCGAAATAACTGAATGGTTTATAATAGAAAAGGGTAGATAAGGTAAAACAATGAGTGACTGTTCCTATCATGTGCTGTGAAGTGTTAATCTGGGAAATGGAAATATATCATTATCTTCAGAAACACTGTATCACTGTACCGTTCAGCTCCAATTGGAAATAGTAAAGTCTTGAGCACACTACCTCGTGCATTAAGGTTAGTGTGGTGTGGGAATTATATTTTTGTTTCTTTCAAATACAGGTGAACAGAGTATTCAAATTTCAGAGCAATATCCTACAACATGTCTAGAGGCCAACAGGATTCATTAAAACAGATACAAAAGTGAGGGAATAGTGCAGAAACTTTGTTTACCACCACTTATTTGTTCTTCATGAATCCATGACAATCCATATACACTGTTTGAAACAATATCGTACTTAAAATCCTTGTACGGCATCTTTTCACTCTTGTGTAATATATTTTTACACAAATACCATATTCAACAAACAACAAGAACAACAATAATAATTTCAATGTATTGAATCCCGTTAAGATTTAATAAATCAAGCTCTCGAACACTTTCATCAACTAGGAATCGTAACTGTTTGGAAAACCTGAAGGGTCTTAAAAATTAATTTTTACCCATGGTGTTTTTAACATGCTATCTGTTTGTCCCCAGTGATTTTAAATTACTTACTGTTACCTTTGAAAAATAACATACAAAAATAATTAAATCCATCACTGCAGACCATGAAATAAAACTTTGGTAAACTTGAAGAATAATATACAGTATAATATGTATTACTCTATAAATAAATATAACAGTTTTAATTACAATTTAAAATATTCACATCCATGGAGGAAAGATAACACCGGGTAATAGAAACTATTAAAAAAGAGAAAAGCAACAATTAAAAGAAAATAAGAATAATAAACTTACCAATGTATCCCCTGTAATCCACCAAGTCAAACATGACAACAGCAACAGCTGACCAGGTGACAATCAAAGCAATGACCAGAATCCACGCTGTTGGGGAGCTGAATGTCGAGACCAAGTCTTCAGTCACAGACTTCCTGGGCCCCTTGGCAGATGAATGCAGGATGCTTCCATTTTTATTGTCCATCACAGTGGTGGTGGTTGCAGAGGGCCGGACTGAAGTGGGATAAAATAAAAAAACGTCATGTTCCAAAAATGTACAGTATGAATGTTACAGTATTCAATTAACTGTTCATACTCTATAGCCACCATATAAATAACAAAACAAAGTCCTTCATTTACAGATTATTTCATGCATACTAACAGTATCTATGCATTAAATAGAACACTATCTATATCTATTGTAAATCAAATTATTTTTTTTATTGTTGTTATTGTAACAAACTACTGTCAATTTACAGTTTGTGGCCAATTTCCCTTAAAACCCAGCAAAGGATCTAAAAAAACAAACAGAAAATCATAAGCAAAAATACAAAATACAATACGGGTGTTGTTAATTTATATACTGTACTGCTTATTCTGTATCTTATTCCCAAATGTATTATATTCTAACTTTAATGGGGCATTGGTCAGTTATAATGACTAAATTGAACATTAATAATTATCTCGGAAATTTAGTCAGCGAACATATTTGCTTAATTATATGGGTTTGAGAGTGATTATTGTATATACATTATTGTAGATACAGTACTGTATACTTTAGAGTAGTACAATGAAAATGTATTTTGTATGTGATATTGATTTGACCTAACAATGATGGATAATGTTGGATCATATGTGTCTACTTTTATTGTTTGTACTGTATATACAGTACAATAGACTTTGTGCAACTACAGCATCTGCCATATCAACCATGTAACATTATGGAAATAACTGTACTGTAGGAAAGGCATGTGCTATCTTTATTGCACTATATGTTAGGTATGTGTGTCTAGGGCTGGGGAGATGACTACTTTGCTCAAACAAAACATTTTTGCAGCACTTTATACATTATTAACGAAAGGGTAGAATTTGTGTACAACAGACATTTCTTTCTAATATTACCAAAAAACCGTAAATTTGAGATGCATGCATACCTTTATATTACAGAATGTTATATATAGAAAGCTTTGTCAAAAGTACAATATTTAATTAATATTGTTTCTGTTCCTGAAAGGAATTTCTGTGAAATATTTGTTGAAAGTTAAAAAATATGAACTCTGATGCATGTTTGATGAGAAAAGAAACTCATGGATGCCACAGTAAGTGAGAAAAGAGAAGTGGAACCTGTCAGGAACCAAATACTTTCTTTGGTAAAAAAAATATTGACTTTACACAGAGTGGTTATTCAAGGTCATCTGCTGAAGAACTTTGTAACTGCAGTACTGAAAGGGCTCTGCACATTCTAAGTCTAAATTGATGAAGGATGAAATCTCAGGATGTGGATACAAGTGTATGATTACCTTTGTCTCTATTTCATGTCAAAAGAAGAAATTCTTCCTTAACTGCTGTATGTAAAATTCTATCAGTCACCAATAGTCAGAGCTGTAAAAGTGTCAATTTCCCAACACAATGCTGCCAAATTACTTTAGTTTTTAAAATTCAAAAACTATGGTACGCCTCCATACAATGTCTATTCAAACTATTTTAAGCTTGTGTGGTATATATACAGTACATTGAAATACAGTAAATTGCTTTTAAACTTCAGAATGTCAGGGGACTTCCTTAGATGTAATACGATACAGTGAGGTGCTGTCAACACATTATCAACACTGAGAACATATTGTTGTGGGAAAAGATTGAGTTGGATTATTTTTGTAAGATAAATCAAAAAATGGGTTGCAGAACAGATGAGCCTCCCCTCCTTCACAGCCTCTCCTTCTGAATGATCTACTCTCCACATGCCCACCTCCATGGGGTTTCATGATAAAATACAGAATGTGAAATCATTCTCATCCATTTTGATTACTGAGAGATTTAAAATAGTGATGTTTCAATAAATACAATTCTGTACAATGTTAGTTACTTTATAGTTGACACTTCACATAGCAAAATACATACAGTAAGAATGGTTACAAATGAAGAGAGACTGTTTGGCCCATCTATCTTTTTTGTAGGGTCTTAGCTTCAACAGCATAACCAGGAGGCTTGTTTCATACTGCAAAAAGACTTTGTGTAAAGAAGTGCATCAGGTTCTCCATTTTTGATGCATCTCATTTTTATTCCCCAAATATGTCTTGTTTCCCAGATGATTCGAAAGAGCTCCGTAGTACTGCCTCTGTTAAGGTTTTTGAATCTGGTCCCATTGTAGTTTCTTTTTTTCAAAAGTAAAATTGACAGAGGTTCAATTAACAGAGTTGATAACAGTACTTTGGGAGGAAGGTTAGATCCTAATCTTGAACACATCAGCTGGCCTATGTACAGTATATACTGTAAGTCTCGTTCCCAGGACTGCAACTCACATGCCCCCTTCCCCCATGCACACCCAAGGTCACTCCTCGCAATAGTGAGGGGTGTTGCTTTAGCTAGGCAGGCCATGCCAAATAACTCATACGTATTTTGTCCCTCTATCACATTCATTAGGAACTAACTGAGCAATTGAATTTCATTCTGTCAGAGCAGAACATACTGCTGAGCCCAAGAATGTATCACTCTTATCGCTCTTGTCTGAATTCCAGAGCAACATTATCTTTCTTGTGTCTCAGAGACTAAAATTATACATAATATTCTAAATGAGATCTTATTAATGCATTGTACAATAAAAAGTCTCTTTCAAATATACTGTATATCCTGACATTTGGTTTGCTTTTTTTCACGTCCCAACTTCAACTACTGAGCTACATCTGTGTGGCAGCATAAAACATCAAGTGTTCAGTGCTTAATACCTGAGTTTGAAATTGATAAAAATTAGTTGATTATTAATACACATCCATAGCCATTCGAAAAGAAAAGATTTTAATCACGGCAAGAACTGTAAAAGATATGACCGTGCCCTGCTCGAAGATTGCTCCGCTGTTATCAGCATGAATAGAGGCAGCCTGCCTGCGAGAAGTGTTCTGCTTCACCAGTCAGCAGATTGGTCCAAAGAAACAGAAGAGGCCAGCCACTGCCTGGAAGGCAGAGGGTGAGCACCCCACCCCAGGAAGAAATGACCCGCACATCCCCAGAATGACTGTAGATCGCTCCCTGCATGAAAATGATCTGCATGTTCAGAGGTCATACAGGGGTAACATTGACAGCTGAGGGACAAAACTGCCATCTTTTATGGGCCAGAGGAGATCTGAGGTGGCAGCAGAGAGAGCGGTAGAATGTTTTATTCACCAATCGGTGACATTTTGCCACTGACAGACCTGAAGGGAGACGTGTGGAGACGTCATGGTGAGCATCATGCTGATCCTGGTGTTGTTCATGCCAGCTGAAGGGGTGGCGAAAGTGCGATGATGTGAGGAGAAATGTCCTTTAACACAGAAATGCCTGGGGTGCAGAAGGAGGGCTCAGAGCTCAGTGAGTCATTGACAAAGCCCTGGAGCCAACAGCTTTTCCGTTCCTGCAAGCCACATTGGAAATGTCCAATGTCTTGAAGTGACAGGTGCACTGGCGCCCTTCTGTCACTTTGCACTCTCAGGACACATATTGTATGAACAGCCTTAATTACCTCCTATCCTTGTGTTACTTTTGCACAATCTGTAATTGTATTGTAAATAGCAATCGTGTAATTTATTGTATCCTAATGTTAACCTAATCCCTATAAATGTCTGTCCTTCTACTCTTCTATCCATCTTAAACAGATCGTGGATAAAGCATTTCATTGCCAACAACACCGCTGTATGCTGTACTGTTCATGCATTGATAAATAAATCTTGATTGATTGATTGATTGATAGGTTGATTGGTTGGTTGATTGGTTGATTGATTGATTGATTGTAGTGTCCACTCTCCAGCAGGACCATGCCGGGCTGAGATTACAATGGCACGTGTTCAAGGAAACAATGCTGGGGTCTTCAAATTGACTTTTTCCTGACCTGTGTCCAACAGAACACCCTGCCAATGCCCTCCACAGGAGACAACTGTGACCAGCCAGCTGCAGCAGCACAGGAAGAATGCCAGTGCAGCGTTACAGTATTTTCCAGTGTTGCAAGTCCAGAGGTCATACTTTCCCAGTGCTAACTCTGCTTTTCTCATTTCCATAGTGTCACATTTCTGACTGAAAATGTATCGTAATACCTTCATCATTTTTGTTTGCATTTTCTATTACTTTATTTAAAACATACTGTATGTATACAATTTTTGTATTACATACATTAGACTTGAAAGCTCTGTCTCTTTCGAGCATTATGACAAAAAAAGCTTCTAATGTGCTGTTTGTTCTGCTGTCATGTCTGCAATCCAATAGTAAACCACATGTCTAGGTCCTTACGAAACTCATCTAATGGGTTTGAAATTATAATTACATTGATGGAAAGTGCATGGACAATCAAACACAGATTCTCTGCTTCGAGGTGCTGCCAAGACATGCCTTATGCTCAGTTCAGAGCATCTCTATCTTTTTATAAATTTGTTTGCAGCAGTTTTAGTAGATTTATTAGATATGTATTTAAATTATACATAAATGCAAATATATTTGATGGACTTCTAACAAGATTCTGCTTCGACTTCAGAATTTCAGAAACTCCAACACCTGTTTCTGAAATGTCAGCAACCGAAACTGGTCATTCCACAGCTGTTAATTAATCAAGACACCCCCCTGGATTGTTAATATAAACATTTGTAATGTGACATTTTCTTCACATTACAATTACAATGTGAATATGAAGTGATTAAGCAGGTGTCACAAAAAAGAAAAATGTGTATTTAAAATTAAATTGTTTATTTAGTAATTTAGTGGAGTGCATGGATATAGAGTAATTGCTTTGTTCAAAGTAAAAATACTTTGTTCAGGAAAGGAATAAGCAAATAGTATGCATGATATTTGTTTTTAACTGCTGAATGTTTTATTCAAAACATTGTTTTCACTTCACTTGCATACTGTACATTACAGGCATACTGAAGCTGTTCTAGAAATGTATAGAAGCTGAAGTACATTTAAATCAAAGGGGGTTATAGTCCAGATGCCAATTTCAGTCACAGAAAGATAGTTTTCAGCTTTTAAGAGTATCGCAAGAGCTACCATAAATCTTTTTAAAGTACTGTTCCACATACTGTAAATCTGCATTTCCAAAATCCTTTCGTCAAGTGTGAAAGGAGTCCAGTGTCTGTTGTACAGTAAAAAGGAACAGGTCAACATATTAAGGCAAAGTTGTATTTTTCCTTTGCCTTGCTTTACAGTCACACCTACTGTATGAAGATGTACTGTAATTGGTGATTTTGCCTCCCGAAAATCTAGGTGAATGTACTGTATTTATGGAATGTTTTTTTTAAATAAAACTATAAAACTCAGCTTTAATGATCTTACTTCCCTTGTTATTGAGAGTACCTGTTTTTACTTCTTACTTAATTTCATATTTATTTCTACAATTCCTTTCTATAAAGATTTTAGTGTAGTGTTTTGTACTGTAAGTTATAATTTGCTAGATTTTTGAAGTAACAAAATCTAGAAGTAACAGTCTTCTTTATTGTTATTTTATCATTATTAATGTTCCTATATATCATTTTCAATGATAAAATGTTATCTTTGTAAAATGTGTTTCATTTCTTGTTTACAAGTTGTTTAATATGTGTTCTTCAAAGCTGGTTAATTAAAGTTTTCTAGTTATATAATTACTTTATTTAATTGTTCTAAATAGTAAAATAAGATTGTGATGGGAGCTGATAATAGTTTTGCCTGTGCAAATCATGATCTGGAGGGGCCCCATTCCAAGGTCTTGCCTAGAGCCCACAAAAAGCTCGGACCAGCTCTGGTTACACCTGCCAGTTAGAAGACTGTGTGAGGTGTCTGATTGAGCAGCCTGAGAACATGAAAAAAGCCTTTGCCACTCTAGCTGGTTGCATATCCCACATTAATAACAAATTGACATCAGTAAGCTTTTAATGCAACGTACAGTGGTTTACAAAAAGTATTCACACGGTCCTGGTGTTTACACATTTTGTGATGCAGACATGACATTTTGTAGTAGCATTTATTATTTGTTCTATATACAACTTACTCTAATCCTTTAAAGCAACAAAGAATTAAATAGATAATATTAAACAAAAATGATAATGTCATGATTACATAGGTGTTCAAACCCTTTGCTGTGCCACACCTAAATTAATTCAGGAGCACAAAAGTTACCTTTACAAACCACACTATTAGTTGAGTGGTGTCTGTCTGTGTTCAATAATAGTGGTATTTAAGGAAAAATAAATCTGTTTCTGTAAGGTCCCTTAAGTCAGACAGTGAATCTCAAGGAAAGATTCAACCATGAAGACCGCTGATCTTTCAAAACAGCTCAGAAATAAAGAACTATAAATGCACATATCAGGAGAAGGATATAAAAACATTTTAAATATCTTTATGGTGCAGCTGATCGTTAGGCAGTGGAAGGCACTTAACGCTGTCCAGATAAGGCAGCCAGGAGAGGAGGAGACTGGTGAGGGAGGCCACTGTGAGGCCAACAGCAAATTTAAAAAACGCTACAGAGCTCATTCGCTGAGATGGGAAAAAATGTCCAGTATCTAAACTGGCCTGTACGTCAAAGGAGGAAGCCAGGAAGCCATTACTAAAAGGAATGTCTCACATCCTGCATGGAGCTTGAAACAAAGCATTTTCAGTGATACTACAAACATGTACTGTAGCAAAGGGTTTTATAGTCAGACAAAACATTTTGGTCTAAATGTACAGCATTACAGTAATTCTGATCCAAATCCAACTTTGTACATCTCTTGGTCAATACCGTCCTTACTGTCAGCTTGGTGTAGGCAGCTTACTGTATCAAAACATAGATGAAGCACAGTAATGGTAAATATTTGAGGAAAACCAGCTTCAGACATACTGTACTGTAAGACTGGGGATAAAAAATTCATCTTTCAGCAGAAAAGGTATCCAAAACACAAGACCACAGCTACAATGGAGTCACGTAAGAGTAAGAGAGGGAAAGTCCGTTACTGGATCAATCAAAGTCCTAGTCCCTGCCTCGCAGCCATCGTTCATCTACCTGGTCTCCTGTCCTTCCCTCAACACCCTATGGGTGACAGGGCCTTCTCTTACCCCAGAGTTCTGGAACTCTATCTCCAAGGATACGAGAGAGTCACCTTCCCAGAGTGCTTTCACATCCAGTCTCTAAACCTTCTTTAGAAAGGATTTTATTAATTAATGTCTACCTGCCCCTTTGCATCTTCTGTTACAATATAAAGCCTTCTATTTCTTTGTTCTAATTTTATCTCCTGTCTTTGTTGCTGTTTCCAATTTTTTAACTTTTTTGTACTTTTCTGTACAGCACAGAAGAAGAACTTGAGAAGTTGCTATAAAAGGTATTATTTAAAATAAAGTTATTATTAACTCAAATTTAACTATTTCAGTTTTTCTCTTTAGTGTGGCATGTGACGTTTAGTTTAACTTATCTAAGACTCGAAGACTCTAAGAAGTCCTCAGTCAGAACATACAGGTTTTAAAGAAGTAAAAAATGCATATACATTTTTCTTAAATGTTTTGTAAGGCACTTTATACTGAAATGTGAGCTAAAATTAAGTAGTTTGTCAATAGTTTAAATTAATGATTTGTTGCTAGTTTATTATACAGCTTCCCGTGACACCATATGTTATAAAGCAGTTTGGCACATGACATGTATAACAGTACATATTAGTACAATATTAGCAGGCTATTGTATAGTTTAATTGCTTTGCTGACTGAAAGAGTTGCAAATAAAAAAATATTGTGATTGAACATTTGGTTGTAAAAACCATGAAATACAAATGTGCTGTTTTGGTAAATCTTAAACAATACACTTCATCTGTGTTCTGAGCAGTTAGTTTGAGAGAGTTGTCCCAAGAAACAAAACCTGGAGCTTTAAAGCTGATCTTTTATGTTGTTTGATATTGTATTTGGAAGAATAAATAAGAGTCGCATTATTTCTACACCATTTGCTTAGCTAAAAATGACTGAAGTTAGACTCATGTTCTCATCCTATTATGATATCCTTCACAGTAATGAGATAAATTTAGCAGAAGTTGAAAAGGTCAGCATTTTTTTTTTCTTGGTGGGAACAGACTTGAGGAAATAGATATCAGGTCACCAGAAAGATTACCCCTTGCAACTGGTGCTGTGTAAGGCTTCCGCAACTACTAAACTAAGCTGATCGTGCACGGATTATATTGATACTCCACAAGATGATTATTGTTCATTGTGAAGTTCCTCTCTGTGTACTGTACGTTTATTCACCCCCTTTTTTAAGTTATTATTTTGTTTGGTCAGTTCTGTACAGTGCCACCTTTAATTTTGGCAACTAATTGGAACGTTTGGATTCAAAACACAACTTTCAATTCATCATTTAAAAGAATTACTGGTTGGGGTTGGTTAGTTTGCACCAAACAAAAGCAAATTTACAGAAACTAACAAATATTTCACTTCCAATGTGGACTGTGAATTCTTATTGTTAGCCCAGACGCTCAGATTGAATTGTAACAAAGAGAATTAGTCTAAATACAGATTTGATACTAATGTCTGGCAACACCCCACAGAACGAGTGTCCACTTCTGTACATTAGAAACTGTCAGCTCCAGCCACCTGTTAAAGCACTTTACAGTGCTCCCTGTTGTCAGACAAAAAATTATAGATTGCATCCAACTGCTGACTAAAGGAACTCTCTGCACACAAACACCATATGCTGTTTCCACTCAATTTATTTAGTCCAGAACAATATACTTTTAACACTTCAACAGTGTTTTTGCTGAAGGAAAAGTGTGTTACATGTTCTGTCCTGCTGCAATGCATTTGGAGTCCCTCATGAAGCAGAGAAAGCATTTCTATTTAGAAATGTACAAGGATGAGCTGTGAGGTGTCTCCAAAGAAACACCTCAAATGAAAAACCAGCGAGTCTGGTAGCTAAAACATGCAACAAAGTCTAGAGCAATTTCATCAAATAAATTGATGTCTGGTGTGTACTGTAAATTAAAAATAAAATGAATTAGAGAAAATGAAATTGAAGGACACTACTAAAGTAACAGAAAAAGAGCTATTGAAAAGACAGGTTTAATCTGTCCAATGACTTTTAACTTCTTGTAACTTTGTATGTTCCTAATTTCTGCTCATTTTCCCTTTTTAATTGGAGGCTAAAATCAGAAATTTAATTTTGGAAAAAATCTACTTCAAACTGAAAAAAAGTAAAAAAGCCACAAAATTCTAAAACCAAAGCCTGCCCTTCTGTATGGATGTGGACGTAGAAATTAAAACTGAAGAATTTCTGTTGCGGTTGTGTATTATCTTCAGCTGCTTGATATTAGAAGGTATTCACAATGTGACTGCATTGCAAGGGGCAAATTCCTTCCCAGCCTATGTGATTTGCAATATTTTTAGAAGACCGAAGACTGAAGTGATTACATTATCCCACAATATAGCTCCAAAAAGCTTCTTATAGTTTATACGTTTTATTATTTTTACCATTTCACACAATTACATAAACTAGCAAAAGAATTGAAGCTTAAGTGAAAAAAACTTTGAAAAAAAGGATCTGTTACAGTACCTTCAGCAGTGATTTCAGTCATGGTGTTGTAAGGTGTTTATTTGAAGTGTATTTCCTTTGGGGATGAAATATCTTTAGGGAGAAAAAAATATTAGGTTCCTCTTATCTCTACTAATCCTCTTCGTGTCATGTAATAAGCGATGTTCTTGGCCTGCAGGAATCCTTCCACTGCAAAAGATCAGTCCTGTTTTTTTACTATAATAGACACTTGTCTCCAGTACTTGAGGTTCAATTTCTTTAAAGCAGAAATGTCTCATGCAACATTCACAGCATTCTGTCTTTTAACACCTGAAATTGGTTTGAAGTCATGTAGTTCCAAATGGGACAGCAAACCACAAAAAGAAAACAAAAAGTCCAGGCAGTGGAAAAAGCACTTACAGCTTGAAAATTTTGCCCAATTTGTTTGTGGCCTTTCAGGGGTAGAGGTCAGGAAGCATGAAACTAGGGCTTCAAGGTAACCTTATCCATTTCTGCTGTAGTTTATTCTTAGTGCACTTAATACCAGCTGCATTCTGTCTTGCCTTCTTTGGTAGGGGGTGTGACCTGATAAAGGGTCTCTGCTGTCACCCAGTGGGAAGATGATTGGACACTCACTTTCATTCTCCGGTAACATGTATTTCTCTTACAGAAAATGGACCCAGCTGGCTCCTGACTCCAAGGATATTGTTTGCAAAAGAAACAGCGCTTAATCATTTCCAATGACTTTGGTCATATTCAGCTTCTCATTTGGTATCGCATCAGTATGAGGGGTTTACATTCATGTACAAAGCTCTTTAAAGCCATAATACGTGAAGACAACATTAATAATGTCAATAACCCAACAGTAGATAATAAGGAGAATGATTCCTCTTCAATAAACATCTACTTAAGTGTTAACAACTGTTATTTTATGCATTTATAAAGCACAATTTTCACACTCTAACATAAAGTGTCACTTTTCCCTAAGAAAAGCTTGTTAAAAAATCACTCCAGTGTGATAGATGTGAAACGTCACATGATTTTAGATTGGGTCAGTCTCAGCTGAAACCTTTGTATACACAAGTCTCATAGCTGTTCTTTTCAACCTTCAATTGTGGCTTCCTGATTAAATAGAAAAAAATGTAGAAATGTAGTCTTCATACTACCATTAATGAGGTACAGCATTTCAAAACCGATTAAAAAAAAAGAATACATTGTATTTTCTGTTCCTTGTATGGAGGCATGACTGATGGAAATAAGTGTGAAAGGGACTTTTAATAAGAAACTACTTTTAAAATTAGAATAAAACTGAGGGATAAACATGGATCTTATGCCATACTGTATGACTACATTACACGTCCCGTAGTTTGCACAAATCGTAATTATCACAATGTAGGGACAAAATGGATTGACAGTTAGGAAAGTACTGTATTAAAGGTTTATTTGGTACAGCTCACCTGAGGCTGAGGGAATGAGGATGATGCTGGCAGGATGAGCCCATTATACAGCTGGATGAACTGGTTAAATCAGTGTCAAGTGTCTGGCTGGAGAATACCTGTTGTATGAATGAATCCACAACCTTTATTCTGAAGATGATCATGGATTTTACCTGAACTGGTGGAGTATCTTCTGCTGACCACTCCACTCCTTAACTGTTATCCATGAATATCAAATGAAAAAACGTCTCTGCACAGAAGCAGATTTTGTTAACAATGGAGTGCCTAGAACATCAGCTTCAGATTTCTGCAGTACAACATCACATTACAATGCACTTTTTTCCAATATTGGACTTTCTTTTTAAACTCTGACACTCTAGATTTTATACTTTTACACTAAACATTAATTGTAGTGATAGAAGTTTACAACTTCTGAATTCCACAGTGTGCTCTTAATGTGATCTTATATTGTGTTTCTGTACTGCTCCTTGACAATCAATAATCAACCTACGTACTGTATACTAAGGTAAACTTTACAATTGTTTCTGCTCAAGGGACCACCCAGAACTCAACAAACATCCTCTCTGCTTTAAAGCTAGAAGTATTTACTCTGCCAAGTGTCACAAACTTTTTCTAAAATGTAAGAGACACTTCTCAGTCACCTAAAGTTGTAACAATATGTAAGTCTTCAGTGTAGTATAATTGTAACGATGCGTAGTGCAGGACCCTATGAAGACGGTATAATGCGGAAGTAAATGGAAACGGACACGGGGAGGAGATGATGAGGAACTGGGCAGGTTGATGAATGGTGAGGGGGGGGGGGGGGGGGGGGGCATGACGACAGTGAACTGGTTAGACAAGGTTAAAAACCGGAATGGGATCCGATGCAGGGACGGGGAATAAAAATGGGGTGACGAGGCCAGGCGCTCCGAGCCCCAGACCCAGATGGTCAGGACGCCATGGTGAAGCCTATTCCACTGGTAGGCGGGCTTCCGGGCGTCCATCTCCCAATGCTGAGCCCAGAATAGTGAGCGTCTGGCTTAAATAAGGAGGGGCAGGATAGGAAGACAGGTGCACATAATCAACTAAAATGTGAAAGAGCTGGAGCGCCCTTAAGAGGAGGGATTACAATTTTGACATTAATATGCAATCGTGTGCTGTCAGGAGAAGAACTTTCTCAGGCTGTAAGGAACGCTGGTTCCTATGGACACATTCCATGCACGTGTTTCTCAGTGTTTGTGTCCTAGGGGTCCCTTTTGATTGTGGTTTTGAACTGGAGAGGAGTATGAGTGTTTTATGCCATTCCCAGAATATACCTGTCATGAGGTCTACTGACGAGGACATCATCTTCACTTTTTTGGCACTCCAAAGCATATGTGCTGATCTCTAGGTCCTTTACAATGTCCTTATCATAAATGTATCTTCCTTTATAAATGACCTAGTCAGCTATTTCCATGGTTGAAGTATTCAGCCTCCCAGACTGTGAAGCACCATGAATTCCAATTAGTGATACTTTAAACCTCTTCACCGACTCATAAACACTGTACTACATCACACACTCATCCATGTAAAATATTTGTAGACTTCTATTTTCTGGTCCTACTTGCATTATTTTGTGAAGAACTGGAACCCCACTATTTGCTCAAACATACCTTCCACATCGATCCCCATTTGAGCTGGGAAACAAAGGACATCTTTTCAATCTTCTTGCAGACATCTAAAAATCAGCAGTCAGTGTTCAGATAGAAATGTACTACTCTATGGATGACTACAAACACTAGCACTGTGATCTTGAACTCAAGTCAGTCTCAGGGGAGGTGGGGCTTAGGGCACATGAACATCCTAAATTTACTTACACATAATCCTATAGAGCACAAGCAATAAGTACTGAAGTTGGCTTAATAGGTAATATGATTGAAAAAGTAAAATTTCAAAGGATATGATGGTTCAAGTGTTGTTTTTTGCCTATGCTAAAGTGGCCCCCAATGCTGTCTACAGGTTCTTATTCTGCTGTGCAATGAGGTGGTGTTGTTTAAAGGTACTTTTGCCCTTTCACCTTAGTCATAGGTGGAACTATTATTTTATTATTAGCAACTACTAACTCATGATGGCACAGTCCTCATGTACATGAGCCTAATGGTCACACAAATAGTCAACCCAAGCAGACAACATTTAACTCATTAAAACTACCTGGGCAGGCCAGTACAAAAGTTCTCTAGTCAACAATTGTTGACTTATTCCATGCTGAAAAGAGAAGAAAGAAAACACAACATTTTGGCTGTGGAGCCTTCTTCGGGTGTCTGTGAAGGCTCCACAGCTGCAACGTTGTGTTTTCTTTCTTCTCTTTTCAGCATGGAATAAACCTATTACTTGTTCCTTTGCAACCTACGCATGCTGACACAGCTACCCACCTGAGCTAATTGTTGACTTATATTTGAAGCCATCTGCTAGAACTAATCCCTGTTGTAATCTTCACCTGCCCAGTACAGAAACTACTCAACAGAAGAACTGAATTATTTTCTCGAATTATAAATCCTTCTGTGGTGTCTTGACATTGTTGAATAACTGTTTTGCAGAAACACAAAAGAGATCAGGAAAGGTGCTTGTTAACTGACCCTGGTGAATCAATAAGCAGTACTTGGTTAGGGGTACTACCTGTAGTTCAGACAAAAGATTGTGTGATTTTCAAATACATTTTTGGAAGTATGTATTCGTAGGATTTAGGAGCCAAAACAGTTCATCTTTAAAGGATGCATTTCTATTGTTGGTAATATATAAAATACAGTATATATTTTTTTGTATCTTTGTTTTTTTTTATTGCACTCCTGTACTGTACATGTGTTGCATACATTTGTTTATTTTAGGGCACAGTCAATTTTAAGATAATTGTTTCTCCATTGTGGGTGTATCACTCAGATATACAGACAAGCGGTGCTTAAGATGGAAAAATGTTCCCGCAGAGGAACTGACACAGAGTGCAATGGAAACACTGTAATGCCACACTATATCTGAATATCACCCAGCCACTGAGAATAATGGGTGTTCTGCCAGTATCAACTGCTACAGCAGAGAGATCATTTGGCATTCTCCAGAGCAAATTAAGAGCTATAAATAAAAAAGAGACTGGCAGTGCATCTCAGTAGGCGCATCTTGATAGAGAATATGATTGACACGGCTGCACTCTCATCCCGCTGCCTTGATTTTCTACTTCAGTATTATCTGAACCCTTACTGCTTGGCAGGAGACCTGACCACCCCCACACACGAAAAAAACGGTCACACCCATGTTCACTCTGCTTTATTTAGTTAAATGTATAATATGTTCACTGGAAATGAGAAAAGCCAAGAATGAGGCATATCAAAAGTTTTTTTTGAGTATTTTAAATTGCAATAACTTGGCTTAACTCTTAACCTGCTTGGCTGAGTGCTTACAGTACCTCCTGCCTCCTGGCCAGAGGACGAGGAGGCTGGGACCCCCTGCAGAGTGAGGAGTGACCAAGGGGCAGCTGCAGAGGGGGAGATGGGGTGGAGGTGGGATGCAAAAGATATATGCGAGGGAGAGAAGAGGATCACGTACAGTATTTATAGTGTTTAAATTTGCAAATGACATCAGGGTTGATTACAAATTACAGACAACTGAGGCTGATTGAACTTAGCTGCTGTCATCCCTCCCAAACATTCATTACAAACTGCATTAAATCCAAGAAACAGAGGTCAATCACTAAGTTAATTAAACAAACCAAATTTGATTTATGTGTGATTGTCTACAAGTGGTAAGGTGGAGGTACTGTATAAGACATGCGAGCAGGAGAGGTCAATTTCACACTGAACAGTAGGAAGAGTGTAAGAGACTGATGTTCTGGCTGTGGAACCTTGTCAGAAAACAGATAATTACAGAATTGTTTTTGAGAATCACCTATGAGTTGGGTTATAATATTGATAACTGAACTTTTATCAACGAGGCAATTCATACTTTGCCTTAAGGGCCTGGGTGTCAGGCTATTTGTGTGGCTGCCCCCTGTTTAGGAGCTACTGTATTTTTTTTCTATTTCTTGACAGTTGGAAAAATAACTCT